TGAGCTATATGCAGCCATGGTGCCCCGTTGGGCGCAAAGTATCACAGGGTAAGAAAAATGTGGAGCCTGACTGGTACTCGAACCTAGACCCTCAAGTACCGTTTAGGACACTAACGACTGAGCTATCCGACCATTTCTCCTCTAAATAGTGAACAGTTCTGAACCGTGACACATATGTCAATATTGTTTATGTACTATAGTCAATAATAATTACAAATTTCAATGAGTACTAGATGTAATGTATATATGTATATATCAATTATGATAACAAATGCAGAATTACATGTGAATAAGTATATATTATTTTGTAAGTTTTAAGATTATCGATACAGAATACATGTGAATATGTGAATGTTATTTTGTAAGTGTTGCGTATCGCTCAAGCCGGTGCTGGGGGGCGTGAGGGATGTTGCACGTATTCGTTGTCCCTCATGTACAGACTCAATCAAACCGAGTCTGCAGTTCTCTTGTGGTTTTGTTGTAATAAATGCTTCCGAGAGATCATTTTGTTTCCAGATTTTTATACTTCACAACAGCAGGTGTCAAGTGCTGTGTGACAGCTGTAAAAAGCTGCCCCGTACTTCACTTCAGTTTTGTTATATTTTTCTGGTCCTTCGGGATCATTGATGCCAGCACTATAAAGTGCTGAAAATTGAGTACCGCTCAAGCCGGTGCTGGGGGCGTGAGGGATGTTGCGCGTATTCGTTGTCCCTCATGTACAGACTCAATCAAACCGAGTCTGCAGTTCTCTTGTGGTTTTGTTGTGATTAATGCTTTGTAAAAAGTTGCCCCGTTCTTCACGGCCCTTGTAGGTGATTTTCTTGTTGCTCTGTCTTCCTTTAGGACATTGAGTACTTTTGTTATGGTCATTGGGTTTACTTTTATATGTTTCTACATGATCATTTTAGTGTTTTACTTATTTAACCTTTTGTAACCATGACAACTGTTAGAATTTCATTTGGCGGGGATTCATTTTATTTACACTGTCTCGTTTATAGGAACATGGTGGGGCTAAGAGCGAGGTTTGGTGCACCATTAACCGGTTTAAACTCCCCAGCAGTCATTATTATGCTGCTGACCGTTCCAAGGCGGCGCCCCACTGTGTTCCCCAGATGTATGTCTATGTTGTTTCATACTGTTTTGGTGACACTTTTGCTTGTGTCCCTTGTTGTTTTCTCGTCTACGGTAAGTATCTTCCCCTTTGCCTCTAGTTTTTATTTCTTTGATTAACCCCCCCCCCCCCTTCCCCCGGTCTTCTGTCCCCTTCCCCTTTGTGGGCCTATTATTATTTTCTTTGAATTCCTAATCAGTTACAAATTATTTATCATTTAATGATTAACGTGTCGTTGCCCTGTACTTTTTATGTTTGGGGTCCGCCTGGGCTCCTTGCCGTTGGTTCTTGTTGCTGGGTCATATGGTTCATTGAACGCCGCCTTTCCTTGTTGATCTTGTTTTTCATATTTTGTTATATTTTTCTGGTCCTTCGGGATCATTGATGCCAGCACTATTAAGTTGTAATAGTAATATTTGTTGTCCCTCATGTACAGACTCAATCAAACCGAGTCTGCAGTTCTCTTGTGGTTTTGTTATGATTAATGCTTCCGAGGGATCACTTTGTTTCCAGATTTTTATTCTTCACAACAGCAGGTGTCAAGTGCTGTGTGGCAGCTGTAAAAAGTTGCCACGTACTTCACTTCAGTGTTGTTATATTTTTCTGGTCCTTCGGGATCATTGATGCCAGCACTATTAAGTGTTGAGAATTGAGTACCGCTCAAGCCGGTGCTGGGGGGAGGGGGGCGTGAGGGATGTTGCACGTATTCGTTGTCCCTCATGTACAGACCGAGTCTGCAGTTCTCTTGTGGTTTTGTTGTGATTAATGCTTTCGAGGGATCATTTTGTTTCCAGAATTTTAAGATTGTTATTACTATACGTCAACATTCTTGGGCAGTGTGTAAATCATATCAGTCAAATTTGTGATACTGAAGAGTTTTTGTTCTTAAGAGAAATAACGTTGAGTGTAATGTACCTAGTAGGAGACTTGTTGTAAGTTATATATTAATTTTGATATTACATGTGTACCTACATGAAAAATTTGGCAGGTAGTTTCTTTATCAATGAAATCGATCATCTCCAAACATTTGATGATTGTTGATATAATGTGGGGGAGGGGGGCGTGAGGGATGTTGCACGTATTCGTTGTCCCTCATGTACAGACCGAGTCTGCAGTTCTCTTGTGGTTTTGTTGTGATTAATGCTTTCGAGGGATCATTTTGTTTCCAGAATTTTAAGATTGTTATTACTAAACGTCAACATTCTTGGGCAGTGTGTAAATCATATCAGTCAAAATTGTGATACTGAAGAGTTTTTGTTCTTAAGAGAAATAATGTTGAGTGTAATGTACCTAGTAGGAGACTTGTTGTAAGTTATATATTAATTTTGATATTACATGTGTACCTACATGAAATATTTGGCAGGTAGTTTCTTTATCAATGAAATCGATCATCTCCAAACATTTGATGATTGTTGATATAATGTGGGGGGAGGGGGGCGTGAGGGATGTTGCACGTATTCGTTGTCCCTCATGTACAGACCGAGTCTGCAGTTCTCTTGTGGTTTTGTTGTGATTAATGCTTTCGAGGGATCATTTTGTTTCCAGAATTTTAAGATTGTTATTACTAAACGTCAACATTCTTGGGCAGTGTGTAAATCACATCAGTCAAAATTGTGATACTGAAGAGTATCTTGTTCTTAAGATAAATAATGTTGAGTGTGATGTACCTGGTAAGAGATTTGTAAGTTATATATTAATTTTGATATTATATGTGTACCTACATGAAAAATTTGGCAGGTAGTTTCTTTATCAATCAAATCGATCATCTCCAAACATTTGATGATTGTTGATATAATGTATATATGTTGAAGTCATACACTGTTGGTTATTTTGTATGTTTTGTGTCCTCATTGGCTTTAAAGCCTATTTGAATGAAATAACGTGTCTGCTGCATAATAGAAACTGGGACATAATATGAATAAAGTCCCAAACAGAACAGTTATTCCATTAGAGCAGATAATGAATAAAAAGTTATTTTTAATATAAGTACTGAGCTTTCAACACACATACATTTACTTAATTACAGTTGTCAAACTAAAATATATGATAAATTTTACTATTAATTATCAATCCTTTATTAAAGCAATTTAATATTTTAGAATTTTGGCAATTCGACTCAAAAAGAAAAGAAATATAAAAAGTACATTCTCTTGATAAGTTATTTTTTATTTTTATTGTCAATCTTTTACCTGCTTATTGTTGTTGTAACAAAAATTTGTGTAATTTATGAATATTTCTTAGCGCTTCTAAAACGATTTATTATTATTATTATTATTATTATCATCATCATCATCATCATCATCATCATCATCATCATCGGACCTTAATATAAATCCGTGGCATTATTAATGCTAAATGTTTTATTACACAAACTGTATCTAGGCATATCACGCGTTTTCAAAACAGCCAAAGAGTTTAAAGAAAATCATTTAGACATCTTCTTCTACAGAACCAAATGATGGATGATCAGTAAACTTTGTCTGTAGCATTCTTAGGTAGTCTTTTATCAAATTTGCTAGGCCGCTTTTAGGGGTCAAGGGAGCTTAAAATGATATAAACCTTTAAACAGCTTTTTCTACAAAACTTATCGATGGATGATCACCAAACTTTGTTATTAGCATTCTTATAGTAATCTCTTTAAAAAAAAAATCAATAAAAAACAAATAAAAATTGCTCATATTTATTTGATTGGCCCCTTTTAGGGACTGCTAAAGCTAAGATACCCCAGACCATGGCATTTCTTCAAATTATAGTTTAATGAAAGGGAAACAACTCATGCTGGAATTTCTTTCATACATGTGAATGACCTGCTGTTTGCGGATGAAATTATTTTAGGTCATGACCTCTTATGAAATAACTTTAGTACATTATACAAGGTTTATAAGGACTTTGTTAATAATCAAGCTTTATTTGGTTTCCATTCAATTAAAAAATCTCTTTTTGAAGTCAATTCCCTCTTGAACAAAAGTTCACATGTATGTACATGTTATGCATAAAAACAGATTGAATATCTTAATATCATGACCTGTTTGCTTTACAGAGATCTGAGGTCAATGTGCTTTGTCTAGAATTGCATCATTCTAAGGTTCATTTGTAGGTCATTCTAGAGAATTTTCCTCAAGGCCTAAAAAATGTTTCATTTGTTTCTGGTAATTTTAGGTGATTGTTTTTCACTGAGAGTCATTTAAGTATCTGTTGTATTATATTTATATGAGAATAAAATAATAATATATAGAATAGCCTGATCGATTGACCTGTAATTGTCTTAATAGTCTGAACAGCTGCATAACCACTTTCTCTGATCTCTGTTTTTTTTTCTTTTTTCTTTCATATGGTAATATTCAAATATTTTTTCAATAGAGCAAATAATAAGTTAAATGTGAATAAATTTGAAAATATTTTACAAATGTGGATATGGCTGAAATTATTTTTCACCTTATTTTACTTTATAATCTTTGATAACTGAGCATTTCACATGAAGGAACAAAATTTAAGAGTATAACTTGCTTGTCTTTATGATATAATGTTGTCATTTTTTGCTCGACCTTTTTTTTAAAAAAAAGTAGAGGTATTGTTGTGGCGGCGTTGCCGTTACCCTAGCTGTTGCCGTCCGCAAGCTTGTACCTGGATCATAACTTTTTAAGTTCTTGGTGTATTGTCTTCATACTTGGTCACAACAACCCTTGGGACAAGACCTTTCGGTAGACCACACTTACCTTGACCTTCATCCATAAATGACCATGACCTTTAAGTTCAAAAGTTTAAATTTTTTGGACCACCACCACCATGCGGACCACCACCATTGTGCAGACCACCATCACAATGCAGACCACTAACATGTGGTCCACCACCATCATGTGGACCGCCAGAAACATGCGGATCACCACCACTATGCGGACCGCCACCACCATGTGGACGGACCACCATGCGGTTCGCCACCACCATGCAGATAGCCACCATCATGAGGACCGCCACCACCATGGGGATCGCCACCACCATGCGGACCACTGTCATGTGGACCACCACCACTATGAAGACCATCACCAACATGCGGACCACCACCATGCGGACAACCACTAACATGCGGACCGCCACCGCCATGCCGACCTCCACCAACATGCAGACCATCACCAACATGCGGACCATCACCAATATGCAGACCACCACCAACATGCAGACTGCCACCAACATGCTGAACCACCACCAACATGCGGACCAACACCAACATGCGGACCACCACCAGCATGTGAACCACCACCACACCACCATGTTGACCGCCACCACAATGCAGACCACATCAACTTGGGACTGCCATCACCATGCTGACCACCACCACCATGTGGACCACCTACATCATGCGGATCACCATCACTACCATGTGTACCACCGCATACATGCCGACCACCACCACAATGCGGACCACCACCACCATGCGGACCACCACCAGCATGCAGATCACCACTACCATGCCGACCACCGTCATGTGGACCACCACCACCATGGTGACCATCACCAACATGCGGACCACCACCGACATGTGGACCGCCACCACCATGTGGACCTCCACCAACATGCAGACCATCACTAACATGCGGACCATCACCAATATGCAGATCACCACCAACATGTCTGGACCGCCACCACCATGTGGACCTCCACCAAATTGCATAACATCACTAACATCCGGACCATCACCAATATGCAGACCGCCACCAACATGCGAACTGCCACAACCATGCTGGACCATCGCCAACATGCGAACCATCACCACCATGTGGACCACCACCAATAATGCGGACCACCACCAGCATGTGAACCACCACCACCATGAGGAACATCACCAACATGCGGACCACCACCAACATGTGGACCGCCACCACCATGTGGACCTCCACCAACATGCAGACCATCACTAACATGCGGACCATCACCAATATGCAGACCACGACCAACATGTCTGGACCGCCACCACCATGTGGACCTCCACCAAATGGCAGAACATCACTAACATGCGGACCATCACCAATATGCAGACCGCCACCAACATACGGACTGCCACCACCATGCTTGACCATCGCCAACATGCGAACCATCGCCAACATGTGGACCACCACCAATATGCGGACCACCACCAGCATGTGAACCACCACCACAACATGTGGACTGCCACCACCATGCAGACCACGTCAACTTGGGACTGCCATCACCATGCGGCCCAACATGTAGTTAATGATGTAGTTAATGATACAATTTTATCCATTTCTATTAGAGTGTAAGATAATTAACCTGAAATGTTTACTTTCTGGTCAAGTTGACCAGTATACCTATGTTATCTTAAATGCATATTTATCGGTGGTGTTATCCTGACAAACAGTATACATGTAAAACTAAATACTGATATTATATAATTATCTAATTTTTTAGATAATTAAAAAAGAGAAGAAAGATCGCAATTTTGAAAAACAGTCATAGGCAAATTGTATCACAAATTAATGGATGGATGATCACCAAACTTGGTCCTATCATTGTTACTAATATAATAAAGAAAAAAACTTGGACTTGTCTTTCTACAAGTTTATTTGAAAAAAAAAAATCTATAATCACTGAAAAACAGTTGTTTCTGGTCAGCGATTCAGGGCCATCGTGGCCCTCTTGTTTAAGTTTCTGTACACATGTTTCTATATATTCCTTATTTATATTAACTTTATATAAATAAATACAAATCTGAAACAAAAATAGCAAACAAATATTTCTTTTTTCATTTAATGCATTGTACATTTAGATGAATAAAAAATGAAAATATTTGTCAGAATTTTTTATTTTACATTTATACAAGAATGACAGATAAATATCTGTATCATTGCATGTTATATGACCGACAGATGTTACGTTTAACAGTTAACTGTTAATTCACTTACCCCTGGTGTCAAAAGATATGCTTATTTCTACATTGATGTTTTATTAGTTTATTTCAGTCTCTTTCATATGCATACATATATACAGAAAACATATTAAAAATTGATAAAAAGTACATATGACTTTTCTACAATAGAATTATAAGAGACTATATCTTGTATATACTTGAAATATCATTAACCCTTTACAGTTGACAGTTAGTTCCTATTGTTAACAGTAAAGCAACATTATATAGAGGATATTTGTTATGTTCAGTGTAAGATCGGAATATATTTCACCGAGTGAGCACCAAAAGGTATATTTCACGAGTGGCGCAGCCACGAGTGAAATATGAACTTTTGGTGTTCACGAGGTAAAGTATATTACGATCTTACACTAAACAAAACAAATTTTCTTTTTATTACATGCTAAGAAACGTTTAAAAAGACATTTTATCCTAGTACTAAATGAAAAGCGCGCCAAATTCTAATACAACGTGACGTCATTTACGACGTCACGTCATTAAGCTGGTTTCCAGTACTGTGCACGCTGGTATTTCTCTGAGACAACGTAAAGGGCTTAAATTCAAAACAGTGAAATTATTAAATTGATAATTTCACTGTTACAAACAGTGAAATTACCAGTTTATAAATCACTGATATATTTCTATAATCCATCGAAAAGCATGTAATAAAAGAACATTTTACATCATAAAAGTTAGATTATCCCCACTGACCTTCAATAAAAAAATAAATGAAGAAATGCTATAAGATATTTTGATAATAAATCTCTAAGTGTTGTTAAAAGTGGCACTATTCAACAAATTTAATAAAATTATATCATCCATGGTCAGACCATGCATGATTGTTCAGTGGTGATATTCTATACGTTAGTAGATAAACAACTCATCATGTTTAAAACAGATATGTTTCATTTGTACCATACAATTTACTATCATCACAGTTGTACAATAAAATTTACTATCATGTACTATAAGCACCGATCATCTGAAAAAGATGTTGAAAGAATATACTAAAATTAATTTAAAACAGAACGCTTATACGAAGCTTAGTGTCTGAAACTCGTGAGTATAAAATATAGCAACGAACCAGAAGTTTTAAAACGGTTTTGTTTGTATTGTTTTAGCAGGGCTGGGAATCAAAACTGCGTCGTATCCTTCAAAATGTAAACAAACGCCGCCATCTTGGAACGAAAAACGTATGTTTTTGATTATAACTATTTTTGTTGGAAATGACTGAAAACCAGATATATGTATTAACACGCTACACTATTTTCCGCTTAGTTCTAGTAATAATTGTTATTTATTTAATCTTTGTGCATTAAATATCGTTGATCATCATAAAAAATAACATATTTGAAAAAATGCCTTTGTAAATAATTGATTTTGAATAAAAATCCTAAAATTTAAATCGTCATATCAAAGTCATTTTTTATTTTTTTGTCATCAAACTTTTGGAAAATAACCATACTTATATTATCTGGGGAACCGTGTCTCAAATTTTTTCAACCTTTTCTCAAAAAAATATTACGTAACGTCAAACATTTTATGTGACTTTTTTCACCATACATATTACGTAATTAAAGATAATTTAGTCGCTTATTGAGCAAACAAAAATCCCTGACACGGTTCCCTCCGTAAATGAATTTCCTTTCATGTGCTTTAAACCGCATGTTAATTGCTTGATTATTAAAAAAGTTATGCCGATTCAAAGTTAGTCCGACCCGCATCAAACGAAGTGTCATAAATCAGCTGTTCTCTCTCGGGACCCCTACGTTTCACGCTAAATAATTGCATAATACACAAATATCGCACCAGAGAGGGTCACAAGTTTGCCGGTAACATACTCTAACAACATTTTTTATGACCAGTGACATCTGACCAATTAATCAGCTGCTGATTAATATCAGTTTTATAGCCGAAATTTCTTCAATTCTTAACGTGATTTTACTGTCCGTCTGGTATCTGTCGCACATGTCACGTGACTATCGGTAAAATTTGAGGCACTCAGTGGGGGGAAATGGAACGCATTTGCGCACCGCTAGCGGGGGTATTTAATTGTTTTCCTTTTTGAAGTTTATTATTATTATCATCAGCATTATTATTGTATTATCCAGTGTCACTCTGCCTGTGGTTTTTTCGTGTACGAAAATTCCGTTAAAATATAAAATAAAATAACAAAAAACTGAGCTTCTGACAGTCTTTTAAAGTTCATGGTAGATGTAAAAATGAGAAGGGATATTATATATTTTTTCCACCAAATTTGATAATGCTTCACATAATTGTAATAGAAATAAAAGGTATTACAGTTTCTACCGGGATAGACAATAAAATTTCCAACTTTGTTCCCAGATTTATTTAGTACTGTGTCCGATTTACTGGCGAACAATTTATTTTCGCTGAGAATATTATTTTAATATCTTATTTTTTATTCATAGAGAAATAATCATCCTTAGACAATCTAAAATGGTTTAGAAATTTACCACAAGTCATATAGGCGTTCACATAAAAAATGTTGTCTGTTTTTTTTTGTTGTTTTACTTGACATTGTTAGAAAACGAGATTGAATGTAAAGTAAGCCCTTGAATCCGTACAAAAGTCTATCAACTCAATGTAATATCTATCAGATTAACGGGACAGACAAATTATTCTCACACATTATGGATATTTTAGCAACTACATTTTTAAATATCAACCCCGTGGTCGTGCGATTAGCCGCTATGCTTAATTATTTATGTTTCACACATTATGTTACGTACATTGGCCGACAATTTCTTAATTTATAAAAAAGGCTAAATGTTGAGATATTCATAAAATATGGTACGGTAGTTGTACGATACATGTATTACGAGTAGTATGGACCAGTATGGACCTGTATTTCACGGATATATGGAACTACCGATTTCCCTCATTGATGCCTCAACAGGGGGCGGAGCGTTATCGATAATCTACAGGTTACGCGAATAGCAGATACAAATAGTATTGGTACCGTTTTAAAACGTTTAAAAACACATTTTTGGGCTAACTGCTTCCAAATTAAATCACGAATGTGTTCAGAAAAAAGGTTGAGAAATCTACTTAGCAAACAATCTCATTTTAGGTATTTTCAGTGATAATTGACTCCGTTGTCACCTTAATCCAAATTTGTTAGGATTTACGTTTTTATATAAATGAGAAGTATAGCTGGGCATTCCGCCTTTTAATTAACTGGATATCATTGTGCAAACTCGGATCTACATCTGAGTAGCAAATATCTGTACAATTTAAACCGTTTTTTCCAACGAATTGACTCCTACTTACGATGCTAATATACATCGTAAAACGATCAAAAAGATTATGTCAGCACTTTTTTCCAATGCAATGTTATTTTGTTTAAATATATTTTAAATCAATAAAATACTCTTTACATAGAACAAAGATACCATTATAATTTATATTAAAAGTGTGAAATATATATATATATTCGTAAAAGTTTCATAACGAAAACATATAACTTATAAATGACATCTTTATCCTAATAATAAAAGATAATTTTGAAATTTGCGTAAGAAAAAAAAATGTATATACATGTATGTATACGCTTAAAAAATGCTTGTGTATAGTCTTTTTGAAAGTTGTGATAACTTTTTCATGACACTATTTAAACAGGATTTTAAACTCTTTTTTCAGATACACACATGCCGAAGAAGATTGTAATATCTGGAGAAAAACATTTCCTACGTCACGAAATAGGGACACCCTCAACACTGGTCTACGTAACATTCCTATAGATGATTGATATATTTAAGTGCTTTTAAGAACAGTGTTTGAATGACGAATTTTCTGTGAATACGATTTTTAATTTTAATGATTATTATCAAAAACTTTCTGTAATTATCAATTTGTGCTATGGACTTACTTTTCCTAAAATATTATGTGGAATGTTAACACGAAAATGATTATGAATATCTTTAAAAATGTTTTTTGGGTGGTAATATAAGTGGCTCAAATGAATCATTGTTAAGATAAATCGAAAAGACTTTGAAGTTAGCAAAGTTTGTTCGCAGTGAAATCCGAGAATGTAACTCATGAAAAACTTAGGAGAAATGTTAAACAATTTTATATAAAATCATGTATATGTTTATTATAAAAAATAGCGTTTATTATAAAAAATAGCAAACCCAAAAAAGTAAAATTAAA